GGCATCTGCCCATTCAAGGAGGGCGGCACCAGTTAAAGAACACGGTCAAGGTGGAAACACTTCTGATGCCGTTGGGATAGGAAGAGATAATCCCTTCCTGTGGGTTCACGACTCCAAATGTGCCGCCCTGGATCCACTTGGAAGGCATATAGTAAGAACATAAGAACATAAGAGATGCCAGTGTTGGATCAGGCCAAAGGCCCATCCAGTCCAACACTCTGTGTCACACAGTGGCCAGAAATACCAGTGCCATCAGGAGGTCCAGCAGTGGGGCCAGGACATTAGAAGCCCTCCCACTGTTGCCACCCCCAAGCACCAAGAAGACAGAGCATCACTTGCCCAGAGCCCCTATCTATACCTTGTGGCTAATATCCACTGATGGACCTCTGCTCCATATGCTTATCTAATTCCCTTTTGAAGCCGTCCATGCTTGTAGCCTCCACCACTTCCTGTGGCAGTGAATTCCATGTGTTAATCACTCTTTGGGTGAAGAAGTACTTCCTTTTATCCGTTCTAACCCGACCGCTCTGCAGTTTCATGGAGTGCCCACGAGTTCTTGTATTGTGAGAAAGGGAGAAAAGTACCTCTTTCTCTACCTTCTCTTTCCCATGCATAATCTTATAAACCTCGATCATGTCACCCCTCAGTCGTCTTTTCTCCAAGCTAAAGAGCCCTAAGCGCTTTAACCTTTCCTCATAGGGAAAGTGTTCCAACCCTTTTATCATTCGAGTTGCCCTTTTCTGCACTTTTTCCAAAGCTATAATATCCTTTTTAAGGTGTGGTGACCAGAACTGCACACAGTATTCCAAATGAGGTCTCACCATTGATTTGTATAGGGGCATTATGATATTGGCTGATCTGTTTTCAATACCCTTCCTAATAATCCCCAGCATAGCATTGGCCTTCTTTATTGCAGTCACACACTGTCTCGACATTTTCAGTGAGTTATCCACTACAACTCCAAGATCTCTCTCCTGATCAGTCTCTGCCAGTTCAGACCCCATCAATGTGTATTTATATTTAGGATTTTTGGCTCCAATGTGCATCACCTTGCACTTGGCCACATTGAACCCCATTTGCCATGTTGATGCCCACTCGCCCATCCTTGACAGATCCCTTTGGAGTGCCTCACAATCCTCACTGGTTTTCACCACCCTGAACAACTTTGTATCATCCGCAAATGTAGCCACTTCACTGCTTACTCCCATCTCCAAATCATTAATGAACAAGTTAAAAAGCAGTGGACCAAGTACTGATCCCTGCGGTACCCCACTGCTTACCCCCCTCCACTGAGAGAACTGCCCATTTATACTCACTCTCTGTTTTCTATGAATTAGCCAGTTTTTGATCCATAAAAGGACTTGTCCTTCTATCCCATGATTTTTGAGCTTACTTAGGAGCCTTTGATGAGGAACTAGTTTTGGTGTACGGATTGTGAGGTGGGGGTATTCCTAACCATAATTTCATTTAAATCTCCAACATAAATAATATTGGAGGAATCAAACTGTAAAATGTGAGCACAGAGGGAACGAAAGAGTTCAGCGTTGTCCACATTTGGCCCATAAACACTGACAGATAAATAACACTCAACATCAGTTTGAGCCTCTTCAGCGATGGATCTGCCATCCTCTGCATTTTAATTTTATTGGTCTTATTGAGATTCTTTTCTTTTCTGTCCCTTTCTGACATGCCCGGGGAAATGCTGATGGGCACTTTGGGGTCAGGAAATCCCCAGGCCAGTTTGGCTGGAGACCCTGGGGTTTGTTTTTTTTTGTCGTCTTCTGGCCATGGAACAGTGGTCACTGTGAGTGTGGGGAGGAAGGTATTTGTGAATTTCCTGCTTTGTGCCGGGGGTTGGACTAGATGCCCCTGGAGGTTCCTTCCAACTCTCTGATTCTATGATTCCACCTCTTCCCCTAAGTGGGGACCCAAGGTGGCTCATGTAGTTCTCCTCTCCTCCATCGTATCCCCACAAATTCTAACCCTGCGAGGTAGGCGAAGCTGAGAGAGTGTGACTGGCCCCAGGTCACCCAGCAGGCCTCCAGGGCCGAGTGGGTTCTCGAACCTAGTCTGGCACTCGGACACCCATGCATTACATTTTTTATGGGAAAGTACTGGAACTCCTCTAGCCCTCTAAGATTTGCCTGTGCCGTAAGCCGTCCCCACCCAGCTTTCCTGGGGACTGAGAATCACGGGGAAGTGTGTGGATCTCCTGGAAGGAAGCCGTGTCCAAAGCTCCCTCTCAGCTGTGGAGTCCTCTTGTGAGCGAGCGATTTGGCTACTGCAGAAATCAGTTTACTCTGGAGCCATCCTTCCTGAGCTAAGACGAAAATGTGTGAGCCGGAGGCTAAAAAACTGTGAGCTAGCTCACACTAACTCAGCTTACAGGGAATACTGGCCATTTCACCACCTTTCAGGCCCCCAACGGTGCCTGAGGACTTGTCTGCATGTCTTAAGGGGCCAGAGTCCCTTGACCTTCCGAGTGATATTTAATCTACCCATCACACCAACCACAAGTTCCTAGAAGAGGAGTATATCGATGCCAGTGTGCTTGGGTGTGTGAGTGCCTGGCATGAGGGACTCCTCACCCCGGGGTCCTGCAGTCAGTGATCTAATACGGCTGAGTTGGGGGACAAACAAGGTGATCTGGTGCTATGCTGGACAAGGAGTTTTAGGTCCACCTTCCTAAGGATAAAGAAAGTAAGGAAATTTTCCAAACTGAGAACAACAACAACAAAAACAGAGAAGACTTGAGTGGTTTCCCAGAAGGGTTCAAGGTCAATGTAACTGCACATTCACTGTCCCTAAGGAAAGGGGAATCCCAAGATACCAATAATGGACATTTTCCATAACCCCATAACAAGACTAACCAGCTGAGAATAACATGAAGTGAATATAGACTCGTTCAGGTGGGGGTCACCATGTTGGTCTGAAGCGATAGAACGAAGTATGAGTCCAGTTGGGCACCTTGAAGACCAACCAAGGTTTATTCTTATATCCAGAATCAAACTTACACCCAGATTTGAAATAATTATATAATGAACTCTGGACTGTACAAGCTGAGACCAAGGTGAATCCTTGCCATATCTACACTCCTCTGAAAGGCAACTGTAGCTCAAGGCTATGATATAAGGCAGAACAAATGCGTATTAGTGTTCATATAACACAGTGCTCACATAACACAGTACAAATAAACTGTCACATATAGATGCAATACAAAAGGCAAAAGTACAATAGAATAGAATTAGGTTTAATGAAACAATAGAAAATCTGTACCTCAAAATTTTAAGTTGCTGGCAACACATATTTAACAAGGTTGTTTACTAAGAGCACAACAGTGAAACAGCAGAGTTTGTGTCATTTTTCATCTTCAGCAACTAAGGGCGGGCGTGCTGGAAGTTGCTTGTTAACTGCACACGGCTACTCCCCCCCCCATTCAGTTAATAAATCTGCACAGCATAAGACAAAAAGAGCCCCAGATCTTTTCCAGATGGGGTGTCTCCAACTATAGTGGTGGGCCTTCCAACAGCACCCCCCCATTCCCCACCATGGCTTGACAGACTGGGAGGGAGGTCATTGCTAACATTGGCAGAACACACAACATGACTTCCAGCACAAAACCAGAGGTGACGTTGGCACATTGTAAGAACACTGTAGGATTTGCCCAAACCATAAAGTTAAGGATGGTCTTTGGGTCCCTTCCAACTTTTAAATTCCTTTCCTTTATTAACAGCTAGGAGAAAGGCCTGTTGCGGAAATGAATGCAACAAGCTCTAGGAAGAGGGCCTGGGTGAGTGCGGCGTCCTGCAGCAGTCGCCGGTTGTCCCCTCCTGCCCCGCCTCACATCCCACCCACCCAGCAGGTGCTTGTGCCCGAGAGGCCGGTGGTAGGTGGCGGGGAAGCGAAATCGGAATGGGGGGTGGCGGGATGTGTTTTTGAGACGTCGGCGGACAGGCCAGGAAGGGGCAGGATGCAACAATTTTGATGCAACAATTCAGAGCAAGAGGTGTCCATTATCAGACACTGTTAAATAAACAAAATATTGCAAGAGTGCTGATGTTTTAAGCATGTTTTTATTTTAAGTTTTAAAAAACCCCTTTGCGTTTGTGTCCTTTATAAAGTTTATATCTCTGTTACCTGGCATTACGTTTTGTGACACACCTGGCCCGGCCCAACAAGGTCTCATTTACGTCAGATCTGGCCCTCATGAGTTTGACCCCCCGATCTACCTGATTTGTAACCGCCCTGTTCACTTCAGCAGCCGCATCTTCTGGGCCTGAGGTCCTCCTGGGCTCAGCTAAAGCCATTCTTTCCCACTGAGACTTGGGGTTGCCAGGCAGTGCATGGCCACCAGTGGGCGGGCTGTGGGTGGGCATATGGGAGGTTGTGGCGCAAGCTGTGGGGTCATGTGAGATAGGGTACATAAGAACATAACCGGAAAAGAGACGCCAGGCCACCAGTGGGCGGGCTGTGGGTGGGCATATGGGAGGTTGTGGCGCAAGCTGTGGGGTCATGTGAGATAGGGTAGCTCTAGGAATCACCGGAAACTCTCTGGTAAAACCATAGGAAGTGACCTGATGACACTGCCAATGTCACTGTCTTTTAAAGATTTTCTCCCCCCGCCACTCTGAGGTGGTGGGGGGGGGGGGGTTGGCTGCCCTACTGAGAATTGACTAATGGCGGTGCACCGTCAGGTCACAGCTGACTTATGGCAACCCCTGGTGGTGTTTTCAAGGCAAGAGGCAAAGAGAGGTGGCTGGCCCTTGCCTGCCTCTGCATGGCAGCCCTTGACTTCCTTGGTGGGTCTCCCATCCAAGTTACTAACCAGGGCTGACCCCGCTGAGCTTCTGTGATCTGACCAGATCAGGCGAGCCGGGGCCGTCCAGGTCAGGGCTACTTGATGGAAGGAAGACTTTAAACTGCCCCTCTTAGATTTTTTTTTTGGGGGGGGGATCTTTACAAAAAGTTTATTTGCACATCCCAACAAAGAAGAATAGACTTCAGAACTTTTGGAACTGCTTCTTGGTACCAGCAGCCTTGGTCACCTTGAGGACATTGAAGCGAACTGTCTTACTGAGTGGATGGCACTCGCCCATGGTCACAATGTCCCCGATCTGCACGTCCCTGAAACAGGGGGACAGGTGCACCGGCATGTTCTTGTGGTCCCTCTCAAAGTGGTTGTACTTGCAGATGTAAAGCAGGTAGTCCCTCCTGATGACGATGGTGCACTGCATATTCATCTTGGTGACCACGCCTAACAAAATACAGCCCCGAATGGACACGTTATCAGTAAAGGGGCATTTCTTGTCAATGTAAGTACCCTCAATAGCCTCCTTGGGGGTTTTGAAGCCCAAGCCGATGTTCTTGTAGTAGCGGGAGAGCTTCTCTTTGCCGGTTTTCCCCAAGAGGACTCGCTTCTTGTTCTGGAAGATTGTGGGCTGCTTCTGGTAAGCCCTCTCGGCCTGCGTGTCTGCCATCTTGGGCCGCCCGATGCGAAAAGAGGATCGTAGATCTAACAGAGGCCTGTTACTCTTCTAGATATTTTATGTCTTTGGACATTTCCCTAAGCGGGGCCAGGATAACCTGAATCCGCTCTGCTTTAGATGGAGAGGCAGGTGTTTTAGCTGGGCCTTGTGCTGCTCTCTTGGGCGATGTCTTTTTGACTGGCAGTATTAGCCAGCAAGGAGCTTTTTGCTATTTTATGGACTATGAACTTTGCACCAGGGTGTAAAAGGACTATGATGTCAGGTACCCAGAGTGAGATGCCAGACACACACACCAGCAGATGCCTGAGATATTGTGCCCATGGTTTCCAAGAGGTTGCCCTGTTCCAGAGACTTTCCTATAGAAGAAGAAGAAGAAGAAGAGATTGGATTTATACCCCGCCCTTCACTACCCAAAGGTGTCTCAGAGCGGCTTACAAACTCCTTTCCCTTCCCCTCCCCACAACAGACACCCTGTGAGGTTGGTGGGGCTGAGAGAACTCTGACACAAACTGCTCTTTTTCAAGGACAGCTGTGCCAGAGCTTGTGGCTGACCCAAGGTCACTTTAGCATGTGGGAGTGGGAATCAAACCCGGTTCTCCCAGATTAGAGTCCGCGCACACACCACAAGCACTACACAAGCAGCCAGCTTGCCATTGCTGGTTAAACAATGGAGCCACAATGCCATTAAGTGACTCAGTTTCAGAAGGCTGACATGTTCCCTCCCCCAATATCATTGCTGTAAAGCACACACAAAGGAACATCTGCCACAGTCCCATAACAAAACGATTGGCTCGCCTGTCCACCTGGAGAAACCGGTTCCTGCAGCCTCAAGACAAAGGGAGCAATCAGTGATAGACGATGCTCAATGTGCCATCCAGGTGTCTCTGTTACCAGATTAATTAGCATTCAGTATTGCCCAACCTAGACCCTTCCTCCACTGCATACGTGACTTTTTGGAACGGACCACAGGGGGGCTGTCTCAAGGGAGGTGTCCAGCAACACCTCCCCCCTATGTCATCCCAAGAGAGGGGAACTGCTAAGCCCTCCTCCTAAGGTCACCTTATAAAAGAGGCCACGTGGTAACGCACTCTCTCTACCCTCTCAATGACCTCTATACGTTCTGCCTCTTGAACTTGTGGCTACCTTGCCACCTACCTTGCCTCAAGACTCTGGGACTGCAGCCAGAGTCTCCACATGCTTTCTGCTGGTTCAGTCTGCACGCTCCCTTTTCCTAGCATAATCCCCATTTTTCTAGAATTCCCCTGTTTTTTCCATTTAGAAAACTTCATCTCTTCAGGAACAGGTAACGTATCGGCAAACCAACGAATCTCCTGCTAATGCGAATGTGCTATCCCAATCTCTCTCAGTTTCCTAGCTCTGTATAATTGTGTGTGTGTTTCTGAATTGTTTGAATGTGCTGAAAACTACAGTAAAAGACATTTATTTTAACTAACTCCAGCCTGCGTGTCTGTTACTGGTACTCTGGAAAGGAGGGACCTCTGTATATAAAGGTGATCGCTCCCTTAGGCCAATTGCTACTTAATAATAACTAATATTCCCCTATAATTGATAAGAAATTAGAGCAATTAGGCTAACAGCAGGGTGTCCAAAAACCAGCCAGCATCCCCGGATCAGGACAGGCAGTGCACAAGGACCCTCCCTCGATCATTTTTTTAACGGGTTCCTAGTAGAGCAGCCTGACCCCAGACGGCAGTCCCTGTGGGACTATTTAGGAGGCAGGGACGGGTTAAAAACCATAGAGTTTCTGCAATGCCTCGGGCGTTCTATGAGCATGCCTCCAGTTTTCACCGAAAGCAAAGGCAGGGCACCTCCGTTTCCTCACAAAGATGGCTTTCAAATTGACAGGAAGGGAATGGCCCCCGCTTCCTGGACCCATTGAGGCCTGTCCACAGAGCCCTTAGGGGGCCAGAGACCACCAGCTGTGAGAATCCCTGGCTTAGGCACGCTCTGCTAGGAGAAATCGTTATGTTGGCCGAAGAGCCCTCTGAAAACTAATGAAGAGAAAATCCGTTCCCTGCAGTGTCCAGCTCTGTGTGCGCGTGCACAGCTGGGATTTTGGCAGCAGAGTTCACTGCAATGATATGAAGCAATGAGGTGGCTGGAAGCGTCAGGAAGGGGGGATTATTCGGACCCACAAGGGAAGTACACTAATCGCTAATACTCTAATCCTCTAAAGACCCCCCCCCAAAAAAAAACACCTCTGTATCTTTTCTGCAATGCCGTGGAAAATCTGTGCAGGGTGCATTATTCATTGCTAGAACAGACCATGACATCAAGGAATGTTGGCATTCCTTCTCTGCGAAATCTAACATCTGTGTCTAAAATTATGTACACTTTGCTTTAATGGCACATCTTGTTTTGAAGCAGTTCTTTGAAGCTCGGCAGAATTGAACTTTTTCTTTTTGATAGGGTTGCCAGGTCCAATTCTTCTGCCGGCGGGGGGTGGGAGGGAGCCTTCTGGGAGTGGGCAGGCAGAGTGGCATTGCCAGCACAATCGTGTCACATGGAACCGGACGGAAGTGACATCATTATGCTGGGGACATCGCACAGCGACACTGTAACATTTTGGGTGAAACTCTATGGTTATTCCAATGATGTCAACATGCAGTGTGCCTGTTTGGGAGTGGGGCTTCCCCTGCTAGCCAGCTGGCCACTGGCGGCCTAAAGCCCCGAAAATCTGGGGAACCCCCGCCTGGACTGGAGGTCTAGCGACCATACTTTTTGAAGCTGGGTTCAGGCATGAGGGAGGAAGGCAACCTGGTCCAGCCAGATCTCATCAGACCGTGGAAGCTCGGCAGGGAAAGCACCGTGGAAGACTCTGCAGAGGAAGGCCGCAGCCAGCCTCCTCTGCTTCTCCCTTGCCTTGGAAGGCCCTTGCCGGGGGCGCCGTCAATTGGCTACGAGTTGACGGGCCTTTTGCACACTCACACATTTTGGGATTGAGAAGGTGGACTGAGAAGCGCACCCAGGTTGAGACTTTCCCCACACGTCTGTACACACTTAGGATGACAAGGCCTCAGATGTTGGTCCTCAAAGGAAAAGGAAAAGGAAAGTGAGGAGAAAACATCCTGGCCAAAAGACGGACAGAAACCGTGAGCTGACTGGTGGGAGGAAACCAGGGGTCATTTGGGGGGGGGACGCGGGGGGACGCCATCCCCCCGGGTGAGGTGCGGGAGGGCGGGGCCTGGAGCTCCCTGCTGGTGCCCGCTGGAGGTCGCCGCCGGCTGTGGGGAGGACACACTTCCGGTGATGTCAGGGGGTGTGGCATATGCTAATGAGTTATGCTAATGAGTCCCCCTAGCTCTTTTTCTACGAAATGACCCCTGGAGGAAACTAAGGAGGCAGAACTATGAAGAAGTCAAGCTCTAAGGGCCAGAGAGGCTA